CTTTCACTGTCCACTCTGCCTGTCAAAAAAAATAAAATAAAATAAAAAAATTTTAAAAATAGGCTTTTTATTAGCCAGTTTAGTGTGTAATTTAATTTTTTATTGATGATGTGTAGTATTCATGTTAATTTAATTGTAGTATTGGATTTATCAAATGCTTTTTTTAAATTGTAATTTTTTTAATTGTAATTGATTTATCAAATGCTTTTTATTTTTTAAGGAAGCTTTTATTTAATGAATGCAAATTTCATGGGTACAACTTTAGGAATATAGTGGTTCTTCCCCCTGTACCTTCCCTCCCACCCCCATTCCCATCCTACCTCCTGCTCTCTCTCCCATCCCATTCTTCATTAAGATTCATTTTTAATTATCTTTATATACAGAAGATCAACTCTATATAAGGAAAGATTTCAACAATTTGTACTCCCCCACACAAAAAGTATAAAGTACTGTTTGAGAACAAGTTTTGCAGTTAGTTCTCATAGTACACCTCATTAAGGACAGAGGCCCTACATGGGGAGTAAGTGCACAGTGACTCTTGTTAATTTAACAATTAACACTCTTATTTATGACGTCAGTGATCACCTGAGGCTCTTGCCATGAGCTGCCAAGGCTACAGAAGCCTTTTGAGTTCACAAACTCCATCTGTATTTAGACAAGCCATGAGCAAAGTGGAAGTTCTCTTCAGAGTGCTGTAAGTGCTGATAATGCAGTCAGAGAATTGTTTCGGGCATTTGTCATTCTTTGAGTTTGCTGTGTGGCCTGCTTCCCATGTTGGAACATTCTCTCCTAAAATTCTATCTATTGTTATTACCAAATACTTGATCTTATCAAATGCTTCTATAATCAGAACTGTTTAGTAGCTATTTGTTGGTATCATGTCACTTAAAATGATAAGTATTGTTTTAGTCCTGAGATATGAATGAAAAATAGAAATATGAAGGTTTTATTTTTAGATTATTTATTTGAAAGGGAGAGTTACAGAGGGAGGGAAAGAAAGAGATCTTCTGCCCACTGGTTCACTCCTCAAATGGCTGCAATGGCCAGGGTTGAGCCAGGCTGAAGCCCAGAGCCTGGACCTCCATCTGGGTCTCCCATGTGGATAATGGAGGTCCAAGGCCTTGGGCTGTCCTCTGCTCCTTCCCAGCTGCAGTAGCAGGGAAGGAGGAAGCCAACAGAGGGACACAGGTGAGGACTGAGGCAAGGGACGTGAAGAGCAAGGAGGCAGGAGCGAGGGAGTACAGAAAGAGCGGTCTCATTAGTTAGGGACAGATACTGGACCAGGCAGGTTTGAATCCTGACCTTTCTACTTACAAGCCGGTCATGTAGTTTAATATTTCTATGTCTCGATTTATAGTGGAAATGATGGGATTGTTGTTAAGATGAAATGAGTTAATAGATTAAAGTGCCTAAAACAATAAATGGCATATATGTGTTTGCTGTTATTTTTATTAGCAGTAACTAGTTTCTTTGAGTAATATGAGCTAGTTTTCCTCTCATTTGGTTTGTCAAGGGATGGGAGATTTTATGGCTGCATAATAGCTTATCCTTAAGACATTAAACTTGAGTGTGTTTGGGGCCTATGCTAAAAGGGGAACTCCTGCACATGTTTGCTGTTTGCAGTGTAATGTTGAAGTAGTACCTTCTTTTGACTCTTCATTCCAAATTCTATCTTGCTTCTGGCCTCCCTGCCTATTAGAAATGCTCATGAGAATTCTACAGTTTCCATTTTTAAAATTTAAATCTTAGATCACTTTATTCTTTTATCACTCTTTATTTAAAGAGAATAGATTTCATTTGTAGATACAATTCTAAGATAACCATATTTACTTCCCCCCTCCCTCATTCCACCTCCCTGCTTCCTTTTTTTTCTCTTTAATTTTTACAATAACATAACTTTAGTTTATAATCACAGGCTTAATACATCACTAATTAATAATGTCCAACAAGTAAAATGTAGAAAGACCACTGTTCCACAGGAGTATAGACAAAGACTAAAAGCAGTAATCAAATCCTAAGATGTCCATTTCATTCTTACACATTTTTTGGTATTCTATATTAACCACTATGTATCATAGAAAGCATATGATATTTATATTTTTGGACTGGCTTATTTACTAAGCATAATGGTCTGCAGTTGGCATACATTTTGATGCAAAAGACAAGATTTTGTTCTTTTTATGGCTGAGTAGTATTCCATTGTGTCTGCATACTACATTTTCTTTATCTAGTCATCAGTGATGGACATCTGGGTTGATTCTGTAGCTTAGCTATTGTGAATTGAGCTGCAATAGACATGAGAATGCAAATAATTCTTTCATATGCTAGTTTCATTTTTATCTCATCCTCTGGCTTGATACACCATTGTTTTTATATCATATAACTTAGTTTCTTAAAATTTTGTTTTCTTTCCCAGCCATGCTCCAGCGTGACCTCAAGGTGGGCAGGAATGGTGTCTGGGTCATGACTTCCAGTTTCTAATAGTGAGATCTGATACCAGCCTGATATCCAGCCAGCACCCCTGCCATTCTTTCATCTCCCCCTCCAACTGATGGCCTTTCCCTTACAGTATCACTCTCTGCTCCATCTTCTACCACAGCACTATTGACCCAGCTTTTGATTAGTCTGTAATGTCATAATTCACTTTCGTATTTATGGTATGCCTAGGTATCACAAATAATGAAAAGCTGAGATTAAAGCACTCTTCCATAACCAATTGGTGACTTTTCCCCCCAGAATATTAGTCATGTATTTCGCATAGCTGTGGAAGCTGGAAGTTGGAGATCAAGGTGCCAGTGTGACTGGGTTCTTATGAGAGCTCTCTTCCTTGCTTACAGAGAGCTGACTTCTCTCTATCCTCATATGGCAAGGAGAGGGGGAAAGCATGACCTCGTGTGTGTGTGTATATGTTGTTTATTAATTTGAAAGAACAACAAAGAAAGATGGAGAGATAGAGATGCTCCATCTGCTGGCAAATGGCCACAACATTCAGGTGTAGGCAGGCTGAAGCCAGGAGCCAGGAACTTCATCTTGGTCTCACATAGGTGGCAGAGGCCCAAGTACTTGGACCATCTTCCACTGTCTTCCACTGTGCCTCAATGCCAGCACCACATGACCTGATTCTAAACAAATGAGTTAGGTGTTAATTTCTCTGGCTCTTCTGATTAAAGAATGGATCTTGGGGGAGAGAACACATTTGGTCTGCTTGAGTCATAGAGAAAGAGTAGGTCATATGTTGTAAGAGATGTTTGAGGTATGCGATTTATTTTTAATCAATACTAGAATATTATATATAAGGCACTGGGGATACAAAACTATTCCTGTTTAGTCCCAGATCACTGATGTAGTGACAAATAATGGAAAGGATGAAAAAATAGAGGTTTGGAGAAGGTGGACAAGATTTTATCTGTTCTTATCTATAAAATTTTATGTATTCTCTTGAGGCCAAGTTCTTTTGAGAGTCTGGTAGCTCATCAGAACGGTTTCGTTTAATTTCTTTTCTTTTCTTTTCTTTTCTTTTCTTTTCTTTCTTTCTTTCTTTCTTTCTTTCTTTTTTTTTTTTTTTTTTTTTTTTTTTTTTTTGACAGGCAGAGTTAGACAGTGAGAGAGACAGAGAGAAAGATCTTCCTTCCATTGTTTTCACCCCCCATATGGCCACTACGGCTGGTGTGCTGTGCTGATCTGAAGCCAGGAGCCAGGTGCTTCCTCCTGGTCTCCCATTTGGGTGCAGGGCCCAAGCACTTGGGCCATCCTCCACTGCCTTCCCAGGCCACAGCAGAGAGCTGGACTGGAAGAGGAGCAACTGGGACAGAATCCAGCGCCCCAACCGGGACTAGAACCCTGGGTACTGGCGCCTCAGTTGGAAGATTAGCCAAGTGAGCCATGGCGCCTGTCTCATTTAGTTTCTATAACATAGAGAGGCCTCCTGGCTCTGGGACTGTGTACACGTTACTCCCTATGGAACAGTGGTAACTTGGCCACTTACTGATTATTAAAGTGTAGTCATGGAGGCCTCAGTGAACTTTCAGAAGGTTTACTCGATCCTGCAGCACTGAATCAAGTGGTTCTGTGTCGCTGTGGTTCTCATAGTCCCTGTTCGCCAGTCGTAGCCTTTGTTACTCTTTTTTTCTAATGGCTGTTAACAGGTTGTTGGAGTGAAACAGCAGCTGTGTGTATAACAATGTCTAGAGTGTGGCTGACGCTCTAAAAATACTTGCTGGCTGAGTGCATGCGGTAGAGGGGGGTTCCTCATTCCAGACAGGGGAAAGAGGATGGACAAAAACGAGGAGTGGGATGTTGAATATTGCTGATTTTGAGGCAGTGAGTAGTACCATTTGACTGGAGTATAATACTGACAAGAGAGGCTGGAGCTTTAAATGCCAGGTTGGGGAGTCCTGAGTTTTTTTTTTTTTAAAAAGGGCTGTTAAAGTTTTTAGATATAATTCAATACATATTCTCATGAAGTTATGTAATGTGAAGCACAAGAAATAGTTTTTTTCTAATTCTTGTGTTAAAATCTTTGTAACACTCTTCAATGGATTAAACATATGATAACTGCCTAGTATGTAGACTCCTGCTTTTCTTTCTAGTTTGTTCTAATGTAATTTATAAGAAAATTTGAATGAATACTGCTGAGTGGATTGAACAAATAGCATTAAACTTCGCAGTTTGTTTTGCTTATAAACGATGACAATTAAATCCAAATAGAGAAGTAATCTAACTTACGGGAGTTTCCTTCTTATTTGTAGCTTAAAGAAAATTAAATGCTTACAGCTGTGACTTTTTTCTCTCTAGTATCTCCAGAGGCAGTTGGATTTTTGTCAGCTGTTGGGGTGTTTATTATCTTGATGCTGCTCCTTTTTCTGTATATTAATAAGAAGTTCTGTTTTGAAAATGTTGGCGGGTTTCCAGATCTTGGTTCAGGATACAGTCCAAGGAAGAACTCACAAGATAAAATTTGTAAGTATCATATTGCTACTTCCCTTGTTTGTTCTTTTTATATGTACTATTCATTATAATACATACAACAAACGTTGGTTTTGACGTATAATAAATTGATATGTGAACCTTCATTCTGTGAGTAAAGGATCTAATATTAAGTAAACTATATTTACATATCGTATTGCTCACAAATTGCTAAGATATTACATAAAGATGAATTGTATATCACAAAATGACATTTTTGTTTTTCATATATAATGTGTACTTTTGAGCCTATAGCATGAACAGATATGCTTTAAGAAGAAGAAATCATCTTCATATTTCATATAGCATTTTTAAATCCATCGTCCAAGCAGCTTTCTAAAGAGCTATTTTGCCATGTCCCTAGAAAGCTTTTGAAATTATTCTCCCTTTTTCTTTGCCTGTTCTTTAATTCTCAGCTGAAGGATAATTTTATTGCTTGGAGGAGATGGTTTTCCCCAGGAATTTAGTGTGTAAGTAAATTCTGATTCTAATCAATAGTGTTCCATTTCCTCCTGGGGCACCAGGCTTTGTTACTTAATGTTACTAGATATGGGAAGGATGAAGCTGTCACAGGTTTCTTTGTCTTATGGAAGTGTTTTCCTTGAAAAAAATGTTTAATTATTTTTAATTTGCTATTTACAAAGAATGGATTATATAAATAGTTGTAGGAGGAAGTTGAGACTTAGAAAAGCAAAGTGTGAATTTAGAAGAATTTGGGGACCAATTGCAGAGAAATACTGCTTTTCTTGTCTGTTATGTTGGAGAAATGCTTTTCTCTGACAGCTCAAATGGTGTTAGCCCCAATACTTTTAACAATCTTCGAGTTAATCATAGTCTGTGACTTTTGTGCGAGGAAACCATAGAACTTGATTTTGTTTTGACATGGTTCAAAATTATATATTTTCTGAAATCAAAAAGAAAAGTTTGGTGAGAAGAGTGAAAATACAGTATCTTTTTTTCAAATCTCTTCAGTGACTGGTGTAAGAAGAAACAACTGGATTCTCATACTCACTTCTACATTCAATCTGTGATATAGCTTCAGAAAAACTCCAGTGTTCTTGTGTAAACAAATGAGAGTAAAAAAGTTAATATTTTCTTACTGTTATGATAAAACTAGTTTGACCTTGAAAAGGTCTTAAAAGTTCTCAAACATCTTAATTTTTGTGAGCCTTGTTCTTTCACTTATTAAATAGAAATATATTTATTTCTCAGTTATTGTAAGATCAAGTATGACAAAATGTTTCAGAATAGTGCCTTGCATGTAGTATTCAGCAGATGTTTATATTAATTTCCCCTTACTCTTAACCTTTATGCAAAGTTGTTTATTTTCCCATTAATATTTTTCTTATTTTAAACAATATGAGTAGTTAATAAGATGAGACAGCTTCATTATGTAGACTAATCAGTAAACTAGAAATATGTAATAAAAATCCCTTTTATACTGCTTTCAGGTATAGAATAAAAGATAGTATTGGATGGGAAGATACATGCTGCTGTTGTCATAGCTGTGAAGTAGGAAAAAGTGTCCTAAGTAAACCAAGTGGTTTTTTTTTTTTTTTTTTGGAAGAGTCTTTACTTAACCTGTTTCTTCCAGTGCTGAATGCATTTACAGAAAGTTTAAAAGCCACATTGTGAAATGCTATTGTTGGGCTGATAAATAGCAACATTTAAGTAAATGTTAAATTCGAGTTCCAAAGTGATATTTTGAGAAGAGAAAAATTCCATTATTGCACCTTTTAGGAACAAGGAATTAGAAAATGGCATTTTTCAAAAATTTTCAGCAGAGTCTGCCCTCAGTGTCCTCTCTGGTGGACACAATCAGCAGTGCCGTGGAAGATTTGACCACTGCAGTTGGGGAAGTTGGCTGTGCTCTCAGTGACTCAGTGACTGAGCAGGTAACAAGCATGATAAATGGCTTGCGCCCGGAAGAGCAGAGTTCAGCAGCAGCGGAAGCTGTAGACACTTCCACACAAAGCAATGCTGTGTTACCAGAAGTCTGTACAAACGCTCATAGTCAGAAAACACAATCCAATTTAGAGCACAGAACTCTAATAGATTGTGCTAGTACTTCAGCTTCACAGAAACAAGATCAAGGAATGCGTGAAGAAGGGGTGTTTGAACGTGTCGATGATAGACAACAGACTCTGTCAGAATGTCAGGAAACAGGCGCTGCTGGTGCTGCTCTGAAAGGACACAAGAGTAGTGGTGGGACACCAGTTTTCAAGCAGAATACAAAGGCTAGATCTCCTTGTCAAGAACAAGAAAGTACTGGCATATGGAGAAAAAATGGATTAGGAATCTCTAGTAATGGTAAGAATGATTTAAAAGAGGTAGGATATCATGGAATGAAAGGAAATCAGAATACCATGAATGGAACAAACTCACTGTATGAGCAAAAGAAATACATTGCTGCACATAATAATAAAGTAGAAGAATATGCTAAATCTCAACCTGTCTTTTTGGGAAGAGACCAAGAGAAAATGGGACATTGGAGTAAAAATAAACATCCTATTGATTTAGAGCATTCTGATACTTTAAAGAAAGTTGAAAAGCATAATAAGAATAAAGGATTCAAAGGGAATGAGTGTTTGGGAAATGAATGTTCTCCGCAAGATACTTTGACAAGCAGTAGACATGTGATACAGAAACCCATCATGAAGGAAAACATACATCCAGCACCTTCAGTCAGTTCTAAAGAGAAGTTACCAGAAAAAATCAAAGAACAAATAAATCCAACGAAATACTTCAAACTGAAAGGAGACCTAAAACCAAAGAAAAATGAAGCTGTTTCTGCCAAGAAGGGAACAAAGAGTAAAGATGAAAAATATTGTAATATAATACCAGAAAAAGGTGAGGCCTCCTAATGTTGTTTTGAGTGATTAAATTTTTTCTTGATTTTTTTTTAAATTAGGACACTATCATCCAAATTTCTTAACTTTCTTAGACATGCCTGTATATCTAATTTAAGAATTTCTTGAATCCTTTTATTGGGAGATATTTTAAAATTTTTTTCCCACAATCATTTCAAGAGCATTCATGTTATTTGTATGCTATCCAGTATTGCCCCAGTCCCTGAATTATTTGGCCAAATTCTTCAGCAGCCCTAATTTTTCTTAATGTCTTTATTTTGCAACCTGAAATTCCATGATTTTTTAAAATATCATGCACACTTCAGTTGGAGTTTATTCTTGTGCTGTAGTTGCATTTCAACTTTCTATATTTTTGTAACTATTATTTGTATAATATTGCTTTTCAAATCTATATCATATTTTGTATTTTTCCTTGAGAGCAATATTTGTTTTATTGAGTAGGACACTTCCTGATATCTTTATTCACTTAGCTATAGATTAAAAATTATATATGACTGCTCTAGTTTATAGTGAAGTATATATGAACAGTTTATTATTACTCTTGGGTTCTCCATGTAGAATTAAGATTCTATCTAAGCATTAATAATTTTCAGCCCCAATATTTATGGGAATTTTCAAAAACATAAAACGTTCATATTGCTAATATTTACTTCTAAATCTGTTAGTCATTTCTATATGTTGCTGATGTGATCATAATGCCAGAAGTGCGTTGGCTTTTATTTATAAAATATACATTTGGAATTTTTCTGGAAATTTAGATTCTCATAAAAAACCGAGTAGCAAGAGAAATCAGAAGACTTTTATAATTCTATATGACTGCACACATAATAGGGATCTACTACTTACTGATTGTAAGAATGATTTTTAAGAGATATAGGAGAGACTGATCCAGGATCACAAGCTAATTAAAAAGGAATGCCAGTGTTTGGAAATGTATCCATTTTGGAATCTGTTCTTCTAAACTGATAAGAACAGATACTACACTTGATCTTGGCCAAAAGGCCAAGAAGAGATGGAGTCTGTTCTAATAGTTTTTTGAATGTCAGTTTCAGCAGTTTTTGATAGTTCTTATTTAGTTCAGGTAGCCTTATTACTTGAAATAACAAAACTGAAATAAAATAAAGTAAAATAGTTCACATTATTTTCACAAAAACAGTAGAATGGGCAATAGTGATAAATACATTACAAGGTAAGATTCTAGATTTTGTTTTGATTTGTTTGTTAAGAAACTTATTGGCAGGGGGTTGGGGCAGGTGTTTGACACAGAGGTTAAGCCATTGTGTGGGACCACTACATACCATAGTAGTGTGCCTGAGTTTCAGTCCCAGCTCTGTTCTTCATTCTGGCTCCCTGCAAATGTGCACCTGGGAAGGTAGCAAGTGATGGCTGAAACAGTTGAGTCCCTTCTACCCATGTGGGAGACCTCAATTGAGTTCCTAGCTCCTGGCTTTGACCAGTCCAGGCCAGGGCTGTAGCAGACATTTGGGGAATGAATCAGCCAATGGAAAGTTTCTCTCTATATATCTATCTCTATCTCTATCTCTATCTCTATCTCTATCTCTATCTCTATCTCTATCTCTTTCTCTTTCTCTTTCTCTTTCTCTTTCTCTTTCTCTTTCTCTTTCTCTTTCTCTTTCTCTATTGTAGATAGAAATCAAGTATCTCTTGATACTTAGGGAAATCAAGTATCTCTCAAGTACTCTAGAATAGAATCAATACTGAACTTGAGCATGCTTTGTTTCAGACATAATTTTGAAAGTCTTTGATCCATAGATTAACCCTTTATTTGGCTGAACTGTAATACTACTAGTCTCTCTGTTCTCTGTTCTGGGTTCTGACATAGTGGTTATAAGGTATAGAAAGAGGAGCAAGAGTTTTCTTCTCCATTTCTTTCTTCTTTTTAAAAAAATTATTTATTTGAAAGATAGTGATCCCATCTTCTGGTTCACTCTACAGTGGCCACCGTTGGGCCATGACTGGAGCCAGGAATTTCTCCCACACAGATGGCAGGATTCCAGTTTTTCAAGCCGTTAGCTGATGTCTCCCAGGATCTGCATTTGAAGGAAGCTAGGGTTAAGAGCCAGAGCCAGCAATTGAACAGTGGCACTACAGTATGAGACATGGGCATCGTAACAACAGTATTAACTTTTAGGCTAAATGCCTGCCCCTCTTCTCTATTTCTGAATGTGGGGGGCAACTTTAGGTAACACCTGTAGCAGGTGAACTTTGATTAGATAATTATTACTCTCTTCAAGGGGCTCAGAGCATTCCTACTGCCTTAAAACTACTATCGTGGTGTCTTAGACAGGGCTGACAGTTCTGAACTGGGATTAGAAGGCCTTGATTGTAGACCAGCTCTCCTGTAATCTCAGCACTACCTAGTAGAACTTAGGCAATTATGGAAGAGTTCTACCTATCTGCATTGACCTGTATTATACCCACTAGCCACATGTGGCTATTGAGCACTTGAAAAGCAGTTAGTAGCATGGGGGCTTGGATTTTGAACTTTATTTAGTGTTGATTACTTTAAATAACCAAATGTGATTATTGGCAACATGTTGGGAAGTGCAGAAAGTGACGGTCATAGCATGACTCTTTAATGGCTTTATTTTACTGAATTAAGAAGTGAGACTTAGACTAGATGACATCAAAGCTACTTTACTTCTAACTTATAAACATTTGGTTCCATTCCTGTACTTAGAATTACTTCCTGTGTGCCCTCTGTCCAAATTCCAACCTTAATTCCTTCACAACAGATGGTCTTCACTGAGCAGAAAGGGGAAAACAGCCATGTTGAACTGATGATTTTTAACTACTGTGATCTCTTTACCTTTCTAGAGCTGTTTTATAATCCTAAAGAAGTTGCATCTTGGTGTAAATAAATCTCTAAAATAGTGATAACTAGTGCTTTTTAAAATTACATAAAATTTGCACTTCCTTAAAGTTTCATTTGAAATTTAGACAGATTTAAGTAAAGTTTTGCTAGTAGTCCCATCTTTCACGGGTAATATGTGTTAACAGTTTGGTACATAATCCTTTCAGACGCTTTTATGTGCCTGCATATACAAGTGCTGTGTGTATGTGTTTGTATATATTGCATGTGGGCATTTGTGTGTGTGTATTTTAAATGGGAATATAATAACATCTTCTATATCATAACCTTTTCTTTTCTCTTTGCACAATGTTGTGATTGTTCTTTCCCTGTGAGTACTTGTAAGTCACCTCCTAATAACTGCATAGTATATCATTGCATAAATACATCACAGTTTACTTAACCAAGGCCCATTGATGGACACTTTGATTCTGTACTTTGATTTTCTTTTGCCTTTAACACAGTGTAATGAATTTTCTCAAACATGCATCTTTGCTGACCTGTTATTTTCTAAGGTTGAATTTTTTAAGATTTATATATTTATTTGAGAGTCACAAAGAGACTGGGGAAGAGAGAGAGATTGATCTTCTATCCACTGGTTCACTCCCTAAATGTCTGCAACAATCAGGACTGGACCAGGGTGAAGCCAGGACCCTGGAACTCTGTACACCTCTCCCACTTGAGTGACCAGGGCCCAGATACTTGGGCCATCATTGTTGCCTTCCCAGGTGCTTTACCAGGGAGCTGGATTGGAAGTAGAACATCTGGGACTCGAATCAGAGCTCATATGGGATGCCAGGATCACAGGCAGAAGCTTAACTCACCAGGCCACAGTGCCAGTGCCCAAGGTTGAATTCTTAGAAATAGGGGCTGGTGTTATGGCACACCATTGCAGCCATTTGGGGGAGTGAACCAATGGGAGATCTCTCTTTCTGTGTCTCTACTTCCTCTCTGTAATTCTGCCTTTCAAGTAAATAAATAAATAGATATTTTTAAAAAAGAAATGAAATTGGCAAATTCCTGGAGAAGGATCAGAGATAAACAGATGTAAAAGCTTGATATGTTTTGCTGAAGAGCTCTCTAGAAAAGTTGTACTAATTCTAATTCCACCAATAATTATATCTGCCCATTTCTCTGTTCCTCTGCTAGCACTGAGCATTGCCAGTTTTGAAAATTTTAGCCAAAGTGAGAATCAAAAATGTGTCTTCTAACATGAATTACTTGAAGTAGTTCCATCTGTATTGGCAATACTTACAGCTTCATTTGTGTGTTACTGATGCTTTAAAAAATTTTATGCAAAATGGCAACAAATACTCTTTTAGGTTGAAAAATCCCTGTGGCTAACATTTATATAATTAAAATATTAACTTTTTTCTATTTTTTAAAACTTTTTTCTATTAAAACATAAAAAGAACTTATGCTTTTTATGAAAAAATTATATTTCTCTAAAGCTAAAAATTCAGATTATATTATAGATGTGTGAGTAAATATATATGTGTATATATATACTGTGTGCATATATATGTCCTTTTTTGGTGTGTGCGTGTGTATATATATTATATATATATGGGTTTTTTGTAAGTATAAATACAATTGTGTATGTAAATTTGTTACTTTCTTGAATTATAATTTAGCAAACATGTTATGCTTTATTGTGTTAAAATGATCATTTGTTCTCCCTGTCATTCCAAATAGATAATTCCTACATGGACAAAGATGAACATGGTTCATCCTCTGAAAGTGAAGATGAAGCTCTGGGTAAATATCATGAGGCCTTATCCAGAACACACAATTCTCGACTGCCACTGGCAGATTCTAGACAAAAGAACTATGCTTGGGAAACAAGACAGAAATACAGTCCTCTGTCTGCAGAGTATGATGGCTACAGTAGTGAAGCATCAATAGAGGAAGGTAAGATAGACTACTTTCTTCTTTGAGATGACACCATAGTATTAGGTTATTTGTGTCTAAAGTTTTAGGCCTCTTTGGTTACATAGTAAATGAGAGCACATACAGAATATTCACATTTTTTGGAATATATGTTATACAAATCCAAGTCTTTGGGCTGAAGCCAAACATCAAAACCAATACCAAAACACTTAAAAGCAAGACACAAAATAATTTAAATAATGTGATAATTGTAGCTCTCATTCTGTAATGAACACATACCTGGCAGCGTGAGATGCAAGATATGAATCTCCTGTTTTCTCACATGAATTTCCTAAACACGTGTTAAAGGAGCTGATAAGAGTCTAAGTGTCTCACGGTGTTGAATATAATTCCAGTGTGTAAATGAATGCTTTTTTCATTCAATATGGTCCCCAAACATCAGCCAAATGCTTCACATGACAAACAACAGGAAAAAAAATGACGTTCTGTTCCATGCATAAGGAAAAACTTAGACGGATTCGTTGAGAGCTGGTAATATATTTACTATGAAGCAGCTGAAGAGGTTTTCAAGGATTTTAGTGATTTCAGGAATTATTTTGTCTCTAATTTGGCTTCATGTGTTGATATTGACATTAGAACACAACCTGTGTAAAAGATTCAAGTCTACCCTTACATGTTTTTACATTTTCTATAACAAATTTAAAAGGTTTTACCATTAATTATCTTAATTTTCACATACAAATGAATCATTTACTTGCTCAGTAGAATGAGTACTCAAAGTAATTGTTTATACTCAGATATGAAGAAAAGAATAGTATATCATAGATACTGTTTTTATTATGTACATACAAATTATTCTTGATTTTGTATCTGTGATTTGTGTTTTAGAGTCTGTTACTTCTGATGACTTTAAATCTTACTCCCAGCACATGCACCTGTTAAAGGGACCAAATCAATTTTTATATTTGGCTTCATGCACACTAAAGATTAGTATACCTCACTTTTATTTCTGCTAGTATACAGGTATGATATTAATTCACCAAAATATTGATTACTTTACAAAAGGCTCATTATGAGATGCAAGGAATAAATAGGAAAGATTAGACAGGGACTGTACCCTCAAAATACCTCTTGGTACTTGGTTAAAACCAAACATGTGCTTCCCAAGATAACTAGCACAGACGGTCCCCAACCTGTATATGCCTCTGGCACATTAATTATAGAACAGAAAAAGTGGATCTTGGAACCTAATCCCCACTGACATTCTGGCTGTGTGTGTGTGTGTGTGTATGTGTGTTTATTTATTTATTTATTTATTTTACCTTTTTTTTTAGGAAAACAATAAATTTAGAAAGTACAACTTTTGGATTATAGCAGTTTCCCCCCCATAACCACCCTCCCACCCACAAACCATCCCATCTCTTACTCCCTCTCCCATCCCATTCTTCATTAAGATTCATTTTTAATTATCTTTATATACAGAAGATCAGCTTAGTATATACTAAGTAAAGATTTCAACAGTTTGCACCCACACAGACACACAAAGTAAATATAGTACTGTTTGAATACTAGTTTTACCATTAAATAGCATAGTACAACATATTAAGGACAGAGATCCTACATGGAGGGTAAGTGCACAGTGACTCCTGTTGTTGATTTAACAATTGGCACCCTTATTTACGATGTCAATAATCACCCGAGGCTCTTGTCATGAGTTGTCAAGGCTGTGGAAGCCTCTTGAGTTCACAAACTCTGACCTTATTTAGACAAGGCCATAATAAAAGTGGAAGTTACTCTCCTCCCTTCAGATAAAGGTACCTCCTTCTTTGATGGCCTGTTTTTTCCACTGGGATCTCACTCACAGAGATCTTTTCATTTAGGTCATTTTTTGCCATAGTGTCTTGGCTTTCCATGCTTGAAATACTCTCATAGCTTTTTAGCCAGATTTGAATGCCTTAAGGGCTGATTCTGAGGCCAGAGTGCTGTTTAGGACATTTGCCATTCTATGAGTCTGCTGTGTATCCTGCTTCCCATGATGGATCGTTCTCTCCTTTTTAATTCTATCAATTATTATTAGCGGACACTGGTCTTATTTATGGGATCCCTTTGACACTTAATCCTATCTTTATGGTCAATCATGAACTTAAACTGATCACTTTAACTAGGAAGATGGCATTGGTACATGCCAACTTAATGGGATTTGGAGTCCCCTGGCACGTTTCTAGCTCTACTGTAAAGGGTAAGTCTTGAGTGTGTGTCTGGCTGTTTCTCTTAACATATTCACTATGAAACTTTGGTATAGTTAATTCTTTTTAGATTTATTTCATTGTTTCCAAAATGTGAACAATAACCTGGCCGTTTTCATGAAAATGAAATTATGTATATGGTATAGTTTTTTGTGTCCGGTACCTAGTGTGTATGTAGTCAGTCAATGTAGTTGAAGGTGGAGGTAGTGAAAGCAATGTTGGTGATGATAATTGTAAGAAAGCCCAGAGTTTGTAGTCTGTGAACCTAGATACTTCCACTTCTGTAGGTGCAGTTTAGGATTTTTTTGTTTCCTTACTTAGTCCTTTCTCCCCTTTATTCAACTCACACCCCTCTGATGTCTTGATTCATTCTTCCCATAGTCCAATTATTCTAGCTTGGCTATATAGTCAATAGGAAAAGCAGTAAGGAGAGAGAAGACCTTGGTGGCTCTTCTCACGTATTTATGCCCTGACCTTCCCTCTGGAACTGGTACACGTTTCCTAGAATCACCTTCTCATTTAATTTTACCATATGTTTAGGACCCATCTTTTTTTTTTTTTTTTTTTTTTTTTGACAGGCAGAGTTAGTGAGAAAGAGACAGAGAGAAAGGTCTTCCTTCCATTGGTTCACCCCCCAAATGGCTGCCACGGCCGGCGTGCTGAACCAATCTGAAGCCAGAAAGCCAGGAGCCAGGTACTTATCCTGGTCTTCCATGGGGTGCAGGGCCCAAGGACCTGGGCCATCCTCCACTGCCTTCCCGGGCCACAGCAGAGAGCTGGACTGGAAGAGGGGCAACCAGGAGAGAATCCGGCGCCCCAACCAGGTTTAGAACCTGGGGTGCCGGCGCCACAGGCAGAGGATTAGCCAAGTGAGCCGTGGTGCTGGCCAAGAACCCCTCCTATACTTTTCTACAGATTTATACCCCAGATAATTTGATAAACCATAGAGCAGATTGATTTCAGATATTCAGATACATGAAATTACATTATTTCAGACGTTTGATGAAAGCTTTTAATGTGCTATGCACTATACTAGATACTATGGACACAAAGATGAATAAAGCAAGTTCATTTCTCAAGAACTCCCAGACTGGAGGATGAAGACCAGTGAATCTACATGTAATATACCAAGAGATCTGTGTGTTGTGTGCATGAAGTACTGTGGAAGTACAGCGAAGGATGTGACTGAGGCTTTGTTTAGGAGGTGCGGATATGGAGCCTTCACAGAATAGGTGAAACCGTACTGGAATGAGGACTGTGTCAACAGACAATGAACTGGTGTGTGCATGAACTCATAGAAGCAAAGGGAAGTATGTTTTGGTGCACTTAGGATCTATATTTGGAGAAGGGCTAGGTAGTAAGAATGAATGCAGTGCTGAGGAGTTAGATATTGTTTTAATAGAAAATGGAGAGCCCTGGGAGATTTTTAAGCAGAAGAGTGTGGCACTTTCAGATCAATGTTTTAAGAAACATCATTTAACTATTATAAAAGAAATGGAAGTAGGAGGTATGGGAAGAACAGGTTAGATAGTAATAAGATCCTCATTAGCAATTAATTTAAGATTGAAGAATATGTAGATTTAGGGATGGCTCCTTTGTCTCTTCGTGAATGATGAAAGTATGTGGTGAATGAAGAATCACGATAGCTAATTAAGAGAGCATCAAAGAGGTAAGGTAATTTCGTTTTCATAATGTTGAATTTGATGTGCCTTTGGAATATCTGGGTGAGTAAGATAGATAGTCATGTTAAAATGCTGCCATAGTAACTTAGGATGGAGAGAGGACCAAGTGATCATGTAAAATAACAACAGGTTGAGAAAGTAGTTTGTGTGTTGTAGTTATTGCCTGTTGGAAGACCAAAGCCTAAAACAGGTTGAGTAAGGAGTAGGAGAAGAACAAGAATTGTGTTCAGGTTCCCCTATGATACTTGTGACTCCAAAGCAGTGAAGCAGTATGCTTGTACTTCATATGTGCCAGAGAGACCATCAGGAGCCCTTTTTAAGTCAAAAAGTGAAAGAACAATAAGAAGGTATTTGAGAGAGAAAGGGAGACAACATTCATATAACTTTTATTGTAATATGTTACCATTGTTTTATTTTTATTATTGGTTACCATTGTTAATCTTTTTAAAAAAGCTTTATTTTATTTCTTTGAAAGGCAAAGTTCCAGAGAGAGCAGAGAGGGAGAGAGGGAGGGAGAGGAAGAGAGAGAGAGAGAGTGCTTCCATCCACTGGTTCACTCCCCAAATGGCAGCAATGGCTTGGGCTGGGCCTGAACAAAATCAGGAGCCTGTATCTCCATCCTGGTCTCCCATATTGGTGGCAGGGGCCCATGTACTTGGGCATCTTCTGCTTTTCCCATGTCCATTAGCAGGGAGCTGAATTGGAAGTGGAGTGGCGAGAACTCAAACCAGTGCTCATGTGGCAGGAGGTGTCTTAACCTGCTGTGCAACCGACATTGGCCTCACCACTGTTAATCTCTCAGTGTGCCTGATTTATGAATTAAAGTGTATGATAGGTAGGTATGCAGAGGAGACTACTTAGTCTTTATAGAGATCAGTACTATATGTGGTTTGAGCCTTCCCTGGAGGTCCCGGGACATAACCTGCAGATAAAGGACAGTGGTCAGTGATTTTACATGGGAAATGCAGCAGGCTATTTCAGGACTTGGAAGTAGTTACTAATTGAAACTGTGATCATGGATGGAGTTAGGGGGAGAAACTTTCCAATTATGTATACTTTGAGTATTCCATGGAGTAGATTAAATTGATGAAGG